CCAAACATGTTGCAAGAGGTCAGAGGCCTCACTTTCTACCTGGGATTTGATCCTAAAGTAAGCAATACATGTAATTAATTCTGAATTCAGTGGAACAAGTTCCATCAAGACAAATGAAATGCAGAGCCAACTGCACAAGGCAAGGAAGAAGCCTGGCCAGTGAGTACTTCAACTGCCTCTCTAGCCAGGCAGTATAAAGTAAATGTTCCTACTTTAAGCATCCTGCCTAGCCAGAAATGCCAGTAAAGACAAGTATAATCTACACTGACCTCATCAGCACATGTTTAAACTATCTCCTAGTAACACTCTAATACCGTGTTAAAACTATCCAAAGCAGATGTGAGTACCCTATCTGGGTTAAGGAGAAAAAGGAGGTGGCCTATGCACCTGTTATTCCTGCAGTTTATAATGCCCAGAACACTTAAAGATCCAGGAACAATGAGTCAGGAACTGCCACAGCTCAGAGATTCAAAGTCTAAGTTTCACTTCTGTGACTACTTCTGTTCACAAGATTCTTTGTCCTTTGTGTCCTGATTTAACTCTAGCACACATCATATTAAATGCATAAATATTTTCAAAATACTTGTTTAACATAAATATTTGAGGCCAAATGTTCCCAAGATTTGTCATAAACCTACCTATCCAAACTGCACAGAAGAGGTAAGTGCACACAAACCTACTGCTCCATACACTTACGGATACCACAGAAGAGAACTGCTTTTCCAGCCATCTCCACAGATAATCTAAACTCTTTAGTCTTATTTATGATAAAATAATGATTCAAATGAATTTTATGATAATTAAACATTAGTTCCTACAAATATAAAAATGGTTTTGTTGACAGGTCACAGTTTACTTGTAGCTGCACCTTGAGGGCATCTTTTCCTATTTCTTAGGAAGATACTGTCTTTCTTCTAAGCACGTGAGAATAACCTTCCTAGAGTTCCACCCGCATTTGGCACTACCAGCTATGGAGGACTGCCCAACAGGATGTACAGGCGAGGGACTGGAGGGATGGCTCAGTGGTTAATAGCTCTTGTGGACTACATGAATCAGGTCTCAGCATCCACAAGCCAGTTTAACTCTAGGGGATCTGGACCCTCTTCTGGCCTCCACAGACACCAGTCATGCCCACAGTGTACAAACATATCATAGGCAAAAACTCAAATACATAAATAAAAATAAATAAAACTTAAAAAAAAAGTTATGATTTAAGCCAATAGCTTCTCAGTCCAATGCCCAGGACGGAAGAGCAGTGACAACCAGAGGGCCTCACGCACTCACAGAGAAGGATAATGTGCACTGTGGGGAAGGCCAGGTCAGGCACCCTCTCCACTATCGCTAGGAGTCTTAGCTGGACTCATCCTTGTGGATTCTTGGGAATTTCCCTAGCACCTCGTTTTTCCCTAACTCCATAATGGCTCCCTCTATCAAGATATCTCTTTCATTGCTCCCCCGCCCCTCCCCGAACTTGACCAGCTCAGGTCCCCTTGTCCTTGTTCCCATGACCCATCCCCACCTTTCTACTCCCCTTCCCAGTTTACCCAGAAGATCTTACTTATTTCCCTTTCCTGGAGCCCTCCATGTGTGTCCCTCTTCTCTGGAATTATGGATTGTAGTCTGAATATCCTTTGTTTTACATCTAATATCCACTTATGAGTGAGTACATAGTATGTTTGTCTTTCTGGATCTAGGTTACCTCACTCAGGATGGTTTTTTTCTAATTCCCCTATAATCAGATTAATGATTACCCTAATTGTCATCATAGAACCTCCATCCAGTAACCAATGGAAGCAGATGCAGTGATCCACAGCCAAACACTGGACTGAGCTTCTGGAGCTTAGTTGAAGAGAGGGAGGGGGGATCATATGAGCAAGGGTGGGGGTTAAGAACATGACTGGGAAAACCACAGAGAAAGCTGACCCGAGCTAGTGGGAGCTCATGGACTCTGGACCGATAGCTGGAGATCCTGCATGGGACCAAACTAAGCCCTCTGAATGTGTGTGATAGTTATGTGGCTTCATCTGCTGGGGGGAGGGGGCTGGCAGTGGGACCAAGACTTATCCTGGGTGCATAAAATGGCTTTTTGGAGCCCATTCCCTATGGTGGGATACCTTGCTCAGCCTTGATATGGAGGGGAGGGGCTTGGTCCTGCCTCAACCTAGCATACCAGACTTTGTTGACTTATAAATCTTTACAAGAAAAAAGAAGAAAGAGGAGGAGGAGAAGGAGAAGAAAGAAAGAAGAAAAGAATGCTATCTTTAGTTGAGCAGTGTACACATCTTTAATCCCAGCACTAAAGGCTGAAGCAGGTGGATCTCTATGAGTTTGAAGCCAGCCTGGTCTGTAGAGTGAGTTCCAGGATAGCTAGAGCTACACAGAGAAACCTGTCTTGGGGAGGGGGTGGAATGTCATCTTTAAAAGCAGTAAGGTGAAACATCCTTTTCTGCTGTGAACTACCGTATAGCAGCCGCATGGCAGGCGCAGAGAAGCTTATACTGAGGAAAGCGCTCTAGCTGGAAGAAATACAAAGATAAATGGACTGTTATCACTGTTCACACCTTCCCAACTTCTCAGCTCTAAGATGAATGGCTACAAATGCCATAAAAGAAGAAACAGTTAACTTGTGCCTCCTACAGTAGAGCACAGCACCACCTACACCGTCTAACCATGGTCTCTAATCCAACTATCCCTGTCCCATTAAATTCAGGGGACTGAGGTCACACCTGAGTTACTAGACTACAGTGATATGATCAGCACAGCCAGAATATGCAAACTGCAGAACAAATAACCCAGTTTCCTTAGTAAAAATCCCAGAGGAGAACAACAACAAAAAGATGGCCATGACTTATAGATTAAAATAATAAAGATAAAAAAAGCAGGCAGAACCACACCGTTACATAGAGTTGGACAAGATACTCAAGGATATACTAGGTCATAAGCCAGTAACCTCAAAGATCATAACACTTAAGACCTGACTACAACTGGCTTTTACTTCACGGTAACAATGGGACTGCTCACCAGTCAGCACAGAAAGAGACCAAGGTGTGGGCAAGAACTCACCTATGGGCTTGGGCAACTTAAGGTATTTTAAAAGACACAGAATGAAGCAGAGCAGCTTGATTCAAAATGTATGGGAAGGGTGAGAAGTCCTGACATTCTAAGAGTGCAGAGCAGGGGTCCCAGCCCACACAGCAGTCCTACCAATGACACTTCCTAGCAAACCTCAGGCAGGGGGACATCAAGGAACTGGCATCAACCAAGAAGCAAAGGCACTACGTTGGCAACTCCTAGACAGTCCTTTACTTCATCTTCAGATAAGATTTACAGATCCATTGCCATTTCACAGGTTAAAAACATTTATCTATACATAAGAATTACAGAACTTAAATGAAAAAATATGGCTTGGTCACCATACAAAGTTATATTGGTGATGAAGAGAGGAGAAAAGTAAATTCTTATCAATGATCCACAACAAGAAGGTAACGTGTGCTGTCCCAGTGACCACCCGTGCATCTTTTACTAATTTCCATCTGTGCAAATACACACACGCAGCTCTTAAGTAGCCAGCAGATACATGTGCCGTCACTACGGATATTGTACTCCTTCCTCCTGTAACAGTAGGTCACCCAGCCTGGCAACAGCACTCATGAGCCTCCTGGGGTTCTTGGTAGGTGTCCTAAGCTGCTCAAGAAACACCCATAGCAGAAAAAGTAACTGAGAAACTGAAAGTGATCAAGCTTACATGCTTTAAAATTTCAATAAAAATAACAGTATCTTATTTTCTAATTTCAATGCTCTCCTACAAACAGTCCAGCTATGGGTTTTAAAAACCTCAAGAACATAGTAATATTTTATTCTTTGAGATTTGTTTCCCAGTGAAGGGAACTGGACCTAGGGCCTCACCTGTGAAGGGATGCACTTCACCACTGAGCAGTCTGAGATTTCTGAAAACTCACCCTCCTACTCTGTACTTACTACATACCTCAAATGGTTGCTTTTTAAAAATAAATAACAATTAAGTAGTAATTAAAGTGATGTATTATTCATTTTAGTCTCCTTTTCCACAGTTTTGGGTATTTTTTTTAAGCCCACAGAAGGCAGGGCTGCAGCTGGCTTCCTGATTATCACCTGGTCCTTCCATCTTAGTAGCCTCATCATCTTCAAATGTGGGGACAGTGTAAAAATGCATGGAGCTCAACTGTACTATGTATTAATAAGGGTCCCAAAGCGCTGTGGAAGTCAGCCTTTATAGATCATGTGGATTTTAATTTTTTATGGACACCATCTAACAAGTGGAGGGCAGGATAAGCATAAAGAAATTCCATTTCAATAAAACAAAAAAAATCATGCAAACTTTTAAAATTGTAACTTTAGCTTTATTTTTTAAAAGACATCTAGAGAAATAAATAAAACAAAAACAAATTAATAACTGAGACTCCTTCATAGTACAAAATAAGCAAAAAGAAGATCTATTAGGTAGTTTGGTTTGATTCCGTATACTGAATCTTTGTCTACTAAAACAAACAACAGTAGAACTAAGGAGAAAGGGGATTTTTTTTTTTTTTGCTGAATGTATAATCAACCTGATTTCTGCTAGTAGGTTATAAAGTACTCAGAAACAGTATTTACTAGACAAAGCATGTTCATTTGAAACTGAAATAAGCCATGAGCAATAGATTTTATTTAGACAGCTTCAGTACAATAAAGCAAGTTACTAACAAGCCTTTTAAATAAAGTTTCTAAGTGCCAAAAAAATGTATAATTGAAAAACTACTACTTCAAATAGAATATACTTACTGACTTTTTACTTATCTAGCATTTATTTACAAGGCTTCTAAATACAAACTGTCTATACATGTTTCTTGTTATTTTTTCCTTTTCTGTATTCTTCTGCAAGGCAAAGCTGACTTTAATTCTTTGTAATGTATGAATAGCATAGAGATAAGGCATTTAGGAACCTTTACAGTTACTTGTTTTGTTTCTTTCAGTTTACTTACTTTGTAATACGGTCAATGTTGGCAATTTGCTTCTGATTCCTTATAATTTCAATGGCTGCCCAAAGATGCTGGATAGCTTTTGTATCCGCCTGTCGTCTTTTTGTTAAACGTGCCATGACCTGTTTACTTCTTTAGCTGTAGTAATATACAAACACATAAGGCAGAAACATGGGTTACAGAGTGAATTTCAACACCAGGAGCAACAGTCACAGCACCACTTGACACTGTCACACTAAAGAGAGGTGTAGGCCGTGCTTTCCATTTTCTACCTCCATTCATTAAGTGCTACTACTTAATAGAAGCACTCATTCTCTGGTTACCTCTTAGAGAATGATGTTCTAAATCCAAATTCAAAAGGTCTTTCCAAGATATCAACTTTATACCAATGTCAAAAAAGACTTAATTCTAAAACACATAAATGCTACAAGATAAAATTTCAGTTTTAGGTATTACACTGTGTGAGATTTGAGCAATACAAAATGGAATTTACATGTCCTAATTGTTTGGTATTTCATGTTTTTTGATGATCAGAACTTTAAAGATTCCACTGTTATATACAAATGAAAACAATGTTTACAAACACTGTCAGCTATGGTAATGGCATGTGGGGCTGCACACCTGCAATTCCAGCACTCCGCAGGTAGAAGCAGGAGGATCAATACAAGTTCAAGTCAACCTGATCTACACAGTGTCTTCCATATGAGTCAGAACTGCATAGCAAGACCTTGTCTCAAGAAACAAACCATGAACAGAAAGCCAACTTGTTCTGGCATAAAACACAAAAAGCCAAGGGCTAGGACACCAGACTGCAAATTATCAGTAATGATCCAGCTGCCAGAATAGGAGTTCATTTCAGAGTGAATAATTACATTATTAGGAAATAACATTATTATTTTATTCAAATTTTAGTATTCTGTATGGGCTGAAGGAAACAGCTGTCAAGCTTCCAGATACCCTTTCAGCTGTCTCCTGGCAAGAAAGAAAAAAACACGGATGACAGTCCCGTGTCTGGTGGGTGGCAGTATTAAAGAAGGCCCACTGGATCTTTATTTCATGTTCATGGAGAGCCCACTTGGGGATCCAACGAAACATAGAACCCACACATTAGTGTAGTAGGCCCTTAAATGCAAAGCAGGAAGGCAAGCATTGGGCCATCTCCAGCTGGCTACTCCCTTCAAGGAGATGGCACATGTGGAACTCTGTCTAACACTTAGTGTACTCCCTGACTGGCCAAAGAACTTGCTGGGATTTCATTTCTCTCTCCTTCTCTGCCTCTACCAACTTGGCCTCCTTTCTCTCACCAACCTGAGACGTGCAGCTGCCACTAGGGTTCACCTTAACAAGACTCACTAGGGAGCCTGAGGCCAGCCAGACCTTAGATATGGCGACCTCCAGCATTATACAGTCAGCAGGGAGTGAGCGCACTGTGGGAGGGCTGAAGGTATTTCTGGAGGGCCTACTTTCCCCAGGGTTACTATGAAAACAATGCTAGGCTGGGGAGATGGCTCAGTGGTTTAGCACTCTTGATGCACATTTGAAGACCTGAGTTCAAATTCTCAGCACCCATGTAAAAAGGTGTAGCCCCGTGAGTCTGTGTCCCCCAGCACTCAGCAGGAGGTAGGACAGAGGAAGGAGATGGCTGGGGCCTGCACGCCTCAGTAAGAGACTGCTTCAAGGAATAAAGCAGAGTGAGAGTAGAGCACCTGCCGCCCTGAAGTGACGTTTCCAACACACACACACACACACACACACACACACACATACACACGGATGTACACACACTCTAAAACAAAAAACGGTGGGTCAATTTTTAAAGGAAAATCACTTGGTTCTGAATAAACTTAGACGTGTGACTAAATGATGATAAAAACATGATTTATGATGTTTCCTTCTGTTGCAGGACGCATAGATACCTTGGTTTCAAGGTTCTTCAGGCATGCCAGCTCAAGAACGTAACGAGCCTTGGGCAGAAACTGCCAGAGCCGCAGAGAGATGCAACAGCACAGCTCAGCCCAGTACTGCTGTGTCCTTCAGACACAGGAGCACACTCTAGCCATCTCAGCTATCTAGAGTGACGAGTGTTTGTTTGCCCTGTTCATACTGCTGTGGGAGGCAGGAGATATTTAAAACGTAACGAATGTATGAGAGGCAGAAGGAAAGAGATCGTGAGCAATGAAGGCAAGGGCACAGGAAACCTTCATCCGACGTTGGATGGCGATACAGATGGAGACCCATATTGGAACACCGAACTGAGCACTCCACAGTCCAAATGAGGAACAGAATGATGAAGAAAATAAAAAAAGTAATCAGGACTGCGAGGGATGCGAGCTCCCACTGATACAAGGGGACTGATATAATGGGAGTTCACCAAGGCCTGTTGGACTGGGACTGAACGAGGACATGATCCAGCCAGATTCTCTGAATGTGGCTGGCCCGGAGCCTTTTTGAAAAGCCGTTGACAATGACACTGGGACTTGCTTCCTCTGCATGTACTGGATTTTGGCGCTCCAGTCTGTTTGGACTCTCACCTTCCCTGGACCTGGAGGGAGGGGGGAGGAACTCGGGCTTCCCACAGGGCAGGAAACCCTGACTGCTCTGGGGGATGGAGAGGGAGGGGGAGAGGGAGTGGGGGGAGTGGGAGGGTGGTGGGAGGAGGGGCTGAAATGGAAACTTTTATAATTTAATAAAAACAAAAAACAAAAAAAAAAAAAACGTAACGAATGACAATCCCTGCCAGAAAACAGAATTGACAGAGGAAATCTAATGTGCAAAGTGTAAGGTCATATAAAACAAACATACAAATGGTCTGGAATCTCCTGAGAGATTTAGAAATGCATCATGCTGCTTCTAGGCTAAGCAAAATTTCGGCAGAAATAAGTGAAAAAATGCAAAAAAAAACAATAAGAAATATGAAAAAATATAAACAACAATATTTTTCTTAACTTATTTTAAAAATTGTTTAAAGCAAAAAGAAAAATAAAAGATGTCATTATGCTTATAATACATTCAGTAGTAACATATATTATGACCGTAATGCAAAGGAAGGGGAAGCACCATACTAGACAAAGTGGGATTCAGGTAAAATCAGGAGGTAAGTATGTTCTATACAATAAGAGAATAATATAAGCAGATATAGCTAACACACAATCCTTCCTCAAGTTATTCTTTCAAAATACATGGTATGAGTTGTGCAGTCCTGTAATCCCAGCTACGCAGAGGCTGCAGCGGGAGAACTGGAAGTTCAAGGACTGTCTAGGCCACAGACTTCCACAGAGGCCCAGGCAACCTAGAGTGATGCTGTCTCAATAGTTAATCGAAAATAATTTATCAGATACATAGAAAATTTTAATAAAAAACTGAACTTTTGAGAATACTAAAAGATAATTATTATATAAGTATAATTATAAATATAATGGGAACTAAGCAGCAGAAATGGTTAAAGTGACAGTACACATTCCTAGAAATTATTAAAATCAAGACTAAAAAGTAAAGCAAGCTACACCTCAGGAAAGCAGATGTAAAGATAATATCAAGGACTTCTTAGAGTTTTGTGAGCCACGTGACAGATAGCAGACGTGCTGTCACTCAAGTTACACCAGGTCTGGGAACGATCCCCGGTTATGGGAGTCAAAGTGGAACCCTGCCAATGGAGTGAATGAAAGTGTGTGGCACATCTTGAAAGTGCCAAAACAATTCAGCCTATTAAGACAAATATTTCATTCAAGTACAACTATTCAATTATTTCTGGGTAAGGAGGAGTCTCAAAAGCTAATATAGTAGTGGGACTAAACCCAGACTTCCCAAATCCTCAGCAAGCCCCCTACTGTTGAGCTACAGCCCCACCCCTCAAGTGCCGCTTTCTTAGGCTCTGTGTTCACTCATCTCACATACACTTTATGTGTTCTGTATGTATACTAGCCATGCTTGCACTGTGGGCAAACTGCAACAGGCAGACAAGACAAAAACTCTAATCCAGTAAGTACCATTAATAACATAGCTTGATACAAGAAAAGAATGACAACTGGGCATCAGTCAACAAAAGAAAACATCTTTGGACTCTGGTTTCTTAGGCTCTACACAAAAACTAGCGGATGTGGAAAAACCAAATTCTGCAACCCACTCCTCTCTGAGTGGGGATTACTAGGTCCCTGTCCCTAGCCTCTTTCCTCTTTGAGTGGGGATCACTAGGTCCTGGATCACTAGGTCTCCATCCCCAGCCTCTCTGAGTGGGGATCACTAGGTCTCCATCCCCAGCCTGAGTAGGATCACTAGGTCTCCATCCCCAGCCTCTCTGAGTAGGATCACTTGATCCCACAATTATCTTTAGTGTACGAATGGTAATCTGTTCAGACATTGCTTACAAAATACATCACTCATTAAATTAACTATAAATTCCTCAAGATAATTCTTTAATTCAACTAAGAAAGAAATTGTCTCATTTGTTTCTACATCTGATGTTTTTCTAGATGCCTAGCAGATTGGCAAATATGCTAATCTTTCCATATAAAAATATTAAATTCAACTTTTCCAGCTATGCTGTGAGACCCTAGAGTGTTCCTTCATTTCAGAAAGACAGGTCAGTGGATGTGTAAAATCACCATGACAGTCTTTCCAACACATATGAGGAATGCAATATATGCCTTTCAGTAAAAGCTACATGGAAAACAATTTCCAAGAGGCTTGTAGCTTAAAAGTAAGCAAAATATTTCAAGTAACTTTAATAAGCCCCCAGCTGATGCTAATATTGTCCTTGGAAATCCAGATTTACCACAATTCCCAGTCTATAGGTACACTCCCTTCTCATCACAGCACCACACAAAGAGAACACAGCAAGCCAGGAAAAATTTAATAAGAAGCAAAATTAAATAACACATCATTTGATGGCAAATGCATATGTATGAGGCTGTGCTGTAATGAGTAATAAAGCACACTATGAGACAGCATAGATGGGGGCAGATAAAAAATGCAAGACCACATCAGCCTCTGCAGTGAAGGACCTCTTATTTACTTCTAGTATAGGTTTATGTGTGAGGGTTTTGTTTTGTTTTACTGCATAAAATAAATATTCAAATATTTATACCAGCTATTACATTTAAAAAGATGTTACTTTAAAAATTCCTATTTCTTCCATGGTT